CAGTGAAATGCCTTCAGTGAGCTGGTTGTGAGGCTGATACCTGGGCCTGTCTGAGGACTACAGCAGGTAGCTTAAGGAAAGTGGGACCCTTGCTTTGCTCTGCTTCCCCAGTGCCCCTTGTCTGGGCAGCAGAAGGGTCTAGAGAAGGAGGAGGGAGCCAGGTGTGCTCTCTGAGGATGGTGATTCTTCTTTGGGGATTTCTGCACACTAGCAGGAAGCTGTGAATTAGCTGGCCTCTGGCCAGCTGGTCTCTCTGAAGCCTCAGCCTGGCCACCCAGGATCTTAACCATATTGTTTTTCTCTGACTTGCAGAAAGTGATGCCAGAAGCCCGCAATGATCCTGTAGTCCATGAGGAATCAAAGCTGTGAAATGAAGGGGTGGCAGAGCTGGGAGATGCAGCCCCCCTCATTCCCATCTTTGCTACTGTCGTGGGTTTGGTCGAATCCCACACACAGCCGGTCACTCCCCCTCCCCCACCCCCAGGAATGAGGGAGAGAATTAAGGAAGAAACGGGAAACCCGTGGGTTGAGATAAGAACAATTTAATACAGATGATTTAATACACAGTGTAGATGCTCACCACCCCCTCGTATGCGAAGCCCATCTCGTCCTGAAGCTGCAATCCTGGACGAACGCGAGGCCCCGAAATAGAGAGGGGCAGAGAGAGAGAGAGAGTACTCTGAGAGTGGAAGTACTGGGAGAGAGAGAAAAAGAAAGAAAAACAACAGAGCAAAAGCGCAAAAAAGCAAAAGCGGCAAAAGAGCCAAAGCGCAAAAGCCCTTCTCTCTGGCTGCCCCTCACTTTTATACTCGGCATGATGCTGCATGATATGGAATACTAATTGGCCAGTTTGGCCCTCAATCTTAAGTTCCACCACAAATCACAAGGGGAATCGTGTCCCCCTTGTCCCAACTATGCTCCCCCCTTATCCTGCCGTGCTTCTGCACTCCGGCACACTGAAAAGTCCTTGGAGTTTCACATCAACCACAAACATCAACTTGCTATCAGCATTCCTCTCAGAGCGAGCCTCTGAGTAAAACCAAAACACGGAGCTCTTCTAGCTGCTAAAAAAAAGAGCTAACCCGGTCCCAGCTAAAACCAGGACAGCTACCTACACTATCCTCCTGTTACATGCGGACCATGACATGGTGGGCAGCCTCAGGGCAGGAGCCCAGTGAACTGCTTGCGGAGAGTGTGAAAGAGCAAAACAAGAAGGGAGTTGTTCTCTTCAGTTACACCTCTGCATCTTGCTGTTTTGGAGACTTTGCTGCTTGGGGGGAAAAGTTGGGAAAACCCACTTCTTCCTCCCCATCCCACCATGTATGCTTGGAAAAGGAAAAGCACACATGCTGAGAAAAGCCATAGTTCCAGGCTAGCCCTGAGCACATGAGGGTGGCATCCTGCATGTGGCTGTGCCTCCTCTCATGGGCAAGCTGTGACATGAAATGCAGAAGCTGGACCATGTTTACCCTGTCAGCAGCCCCGGAAGAGCTTTCAGCTGGCTCTCAGGAAGAGGGATTGCTCTACCTTGGTGCTCACGATGCTCTGTGTTGCACAGGTGATGGTAGAAGCCTCAAAGTGCAAAGCAGTGCATATGCCACTGCTGGCTCTGGTTTTATTTACGTGGCTGTCCCAGATGAAGCACTCTTAGTCTGTAGATAAACCTCTGCTCAAAATTCACAGAGGTTGTCCTGATGTTCCTATGTATTAGGAGTAATTGAGAGATACCAATATGCCTCCTTCTACCTCGAGGCAAGGACTAGTTCTGCAGCTTGTGTTGAAGCTACAGCCTAAGCCCAGCTCATCACTGCAGCAGCAACAGGAGTGAGTCAAACCACAAGCTCCCTGGGATGAGGACTGTCTTCCTCCTTAATGTTAAAGTGCCTTTTGCATGTTTCAACACTACATGAAAACTTTTGTGAATGTTATATTGAGATAACCAGCCAAAGCTGTGTTGCTCATCACAGCCACAGAGAAGACTTTAAGTATGATGGGAATCTGGATTTGCTCCAGTGTAGAAGCTTCCCACTTTATAACAGAGAACAGGAGAAGACCTCTTACCAGCATTTGTGTTTTGTAGACATTGTCCGGCTGTATGCTGCTGTTTATCTTCTAAACAGAAAGAGAGACCTTTGTATCCCTTCTCCTTTCTTTCCAGCATCCTTCCACTGCTGGAAGTGTCCTTATACTCGTGCAGTTATGCATATGTAATTGGGGGGCAGGGGGCACACAAAAACCACAACCAGGTGGAATGGATAAAAATAGTTCTCTCTGATATACCATTTTTGATGAAACATTTTTTGGGTGAAATTTTACAGTCTTTTGACATATTAAAAAAAATCAAGTCCTATCTTTGATAGTTTGGGATTGAGGATGGGGACCTAAAATGGCTTTTCAATTGAAGTTTTTACATAAAATAAAAACATTTGAAGTTTACAATGAAACCTGGCACATTCATATTAAACGGTTGAAACAGTTTACATCTGACTCTTAAGAACCTGAAATGTTTTGCAGAATGAAAAAAATCATCTTTATGCTGAGTGCTGCTGTTGTGCTCTTTTCCTCCCTTGTTAGTTTTTCCTCTCTTTCTTCTGCACATGCATTATCTTCCTAGCTAGGAGATTCTGCTGTTTCCTTCCTACCTTCAGTCCTTCTGCCCATCTGCTTTGGGAATTATTTCACCTAGGTTTAAGCAACCTGCTTCTGTTTTCTCTGTCTTCTGTAGTTATAGCTCACTGCAAAGGTAACTCAGTCCTTGCTCACAGATGCATGCAGTTTGCTGTCACCAGTAGGCTGTGGAAGCAAGCACTGCAACAACTCTCTCCGTGTCTGTGATGTGAGCAGTCAGACCTGGAACTTTGTGGGAAGGAGTCAGGGAAAGGTGGGTTTGCTGTAAGGAGAGATCACAGAACGGCTTGGGTTGGAAAGGACCTTATAGATCAGCTAGTTCCAACCCCCTTGCCATGGGCAGGGACACCTTCCATTAGATCAGGTTGCTCAAAGCCTCATCCAACCTGGCCTTAAACATGTTATCACAGAGGTGCTACCACCATTGCTTATGGGCTTGGCCTTGGCCAGCAGTGAGCCTGTCTTGGAGCCAGCTGGCATTGGCTCTGTTGGACATAGGGTACAGTTATGGCAGAGAACATCCTCCTGCCAACAGCTCTGGCAGGTGCTAGCAGAGTGGATTTTACAATCTGTGGTTGGAAGTCGGTTCCTCACCTCCTGAAACCTAAACAACTCAAATCTGATTGCACCCATAGCCTACTGCCATGCTCATTGTTGTTGGATTTTTAAGTACGACTGAACGAGCTGAGCTTGGTATTGAATGGCTGCTGTTAATATGACATTTTCTTTCTTATTTTAGGTTTCAGGAAGTTTGGATGGAGTGTTTGATACATGCAATCGTTATGTTGTTAACAGAGGTGAGACACAGGCAGCCCTAGATGAGTTCTGTGTTCTTTTCATAACTCTTAATGCATGGATAACATAAAGGGCTGCAAAATACAAGATAAGGTGCATTTATAGATACAGAGGAAATGAGCCATATTGTCTGGCTTTTAATAGGAACCATTCAGTTTTGAAGAGCATGCACATTCTACTAGCTGTCCTCACTGGTGTGACAGCAACAAGAAAAGTAATTCTGCTGCTAGTCCACAAGAAAAGTAAAGTGTTTTCCAAACAAAGGAAATAAATACTTCTGTGTATCCATGGACGTACATCCTACTTAGAATAAAACACTTATGCAGTTAACTGCATGTGTGGTGGTCTCCATATAGGAGCTATTGGAGGCTAGATGAAGTTGACAGAAAAACCCACTCAGTTGTCAAATCTTTTGATCTTAGTCTAAGCAAAACAGGTTGTCAGTGAAGAGTGATCTGATTATTTGCTCCTTGTCTGACCTGAGGAAGGGCAGTGGAACGAAGAGTCCAGTGTTCAGGTGAGTCCTGGCCTCGAGTGAGAGCTACCTGGCAATGCCTCAGCATGGTGAGGACTGAGATAACGTACCCCATTTCTGGAAAGGAACCAGAAGCAAAAGTGACAATTATATCCGTGTACTTGACTGATGGGACTCAGCTGCCACTTGTAATATAAGCACATAACAAAACAGAAGTATTATGATAGCCTGACCCACTCCTGGAGGAAGAGGACTGTTTGGTTTAACAAGGCATTTTTCCAACTGTGTCTTTTTCTATGCAGCCTTTGTTTCAGTTATTTCTGCTTACCTTACACTGAGACTGGATCAACACAAGGTAATACAGAGCCAGGCCAGAAAACTTCTCCCAGATAAGGCCAATGGTATGAAAACCAGGTCAACGGAGACCTAAGGTGGTCCTGAAAGTTCTCTCAAGGTGACCCCATGGGTGGGAATTTCACTTCTGTAACTGAAGTCTATCCTTCCTACAAAAGGAGGGCATTGCCAGCAGTGAGTTTCTTAGCTAGTACATGTGTTTATGATTTATCCTGCAACATACAGTAGAAACTGCTGTTTGCTCTGAGGTTGTACGTCCTCTACCCGCTGCTGTGTATCAGAAAGACAGACACAGCACCCTGCAGTTTTCCATCATTTATTAGAAATGGTCCCTGAGGAACACACGCATGCAATTACACAGCAGTGCCAGGGGCAGCACGCATTCTCTCTTTCTGGTCCAAAGTGTTCAGTGGTCCTGGGTAGCTCTACACCTTCTCCCCACAGGTACACTTGGAGAGAAGTCCTTAGTGCACTGGGCATGCCTGAGACATTGCTGCTGTCCTTCAGGGAGGCAATCACCAGCTGCCCTCTGCAAGCTTTGACACAAACTCCTCTGGGACTTGCTCTTTGACATCAGTCAGTTGAAGTGTTGCCTGAACAAGAAAACATGCTTGGTAATGAAGAATGATTGACAGAGTCCAACATTGATCCACCAGTGGAACTGTGTCCTGGAGAAGTTGAGCCGAGCTTTAGTGAAGTTTGGCACTAAAGATAGGAGACAACACTGACCTACACAGAGCCCTCAGCTTCAGTTTTTCTTCTTGTTTTGTGACAGTGCTTCTACCTCCAGGTACTGCAGCCCAATCAACATCCCCAGGATGGAGAAACCTGTGATGGAGATAGAGCATGAGTTGTGTAGAAAATGCTGGACAGGAGATGAGGAGATGAGACATTCCTTCCCACCATCCTCCCTCTGCCCTTAGCTTATAGCCCCATAGAGAGTTTTTCTGGGGGGTGTCATAGCTCCAATGAGAGTTTGTCAGGGGACGATGTAGAGTTCTACTTACTTGCTACCATGAGGGGTGCCATAACTCCAATTGTCAAGGCTGCAGTGTGGTAAATGTAGACCTCAGAGAGGAAGTGAACGAGGGCCAAAAAGAAGGTGAAGAGCGTGATGTAATAGAGGCTGTTGGAGAGCAGAAAGAAGCAGGTTATCATATAGCTCCTAGTATAGGCACGAGCATTGCTGAGTGGAAGAGGCAAACGTGCACGCTGCCCCGTTTGTCCTCACTGGGGCAGCACAGAGGTCACTTGGTCCTTTGCCTGGCAAGGCGCAAAAGCTCCCTGGGCAACAACTGAGAGGACAACGGAGCAGTGTGTTCAATGGTGCACTGAAAGTCACAGGCGTTATCTGGCCTGAAGGCAGGTGAAGAGAGGAGGGCGAGGATAGGCACCAGTGAAGCGAGAACCATGTGTGCACACAAAAAAGAGGGCGAGAACTGGATGAGACGAGAACTAGGGCGACAGGACTTGGCTGCTTCCAGGCTGCATCACCCAACACATGTTCCCAGCTGTGCTCTGCTACCCTCTAGGGGCCATAGCTGTGGAAAGGGAGCAGGTCGAAGAGATGCAAGACGGAAGAGTCCTTCTAAGAAACAACTGGCTTCATGGTAATTGGCATTGCCACCACCCCTTAAAAACAGATAATTCTACCACAGACAAGCCTAGGCAATCCCAGGACACACTGCCAGGTGAACAGTGACTTCTGCTGCAGGGCTGGGGGAGGTGGTGACAAAAGAGTGAGTTCTCGCAACCTCCAACACAGGCTTTGTCTAGCACAGACCCAGAGTCACCCTGCTTGGAAATCCCCCTCAGAAATACTTCTGTTGCCATAGGGAGAAACGGCCTGCCTCCCACCACAGCATCAGGCCGCACCTCAGGCCTTGTCCTCAGCCCCTGTCCTCAGCCCCAGCTAAGAGTGTATGGAAGACGGCAGCGGGTTAAGACCACTGCAAGGGGCCTCTCAACCTGCCGCAGTCTTTAGCTGAGCTATCATAGAAAAAGAAGTACGGAGCATCAGTCAGACCACAGTGTTGGCAACTGCTTAATGTCAACAGGGCAGCAATGCCAATAGAAGACGCTTTCCAAGATGGAGCTCAGAAATTTGTGGCATAGAAGTTCTCTCAGATCTACCAGTTTCTGCCTGAGCTAAGAAACCTAACTCAAACACGCAGGTTCTCCCCACAGAGGCAGAAGGGAGCAGCAGTTAACACAAATCCCACACTGCTATTTAAGCTTTTTCAGGGGAATGCTTCCAACCCTATAGAAAGTTCAGAAGAAGCTTTTGATTCCCCACCTCCGCCACGCTGCCCCCTAAGCTAGCTGCTCGGGTCGCAAATAGCGAGGAAACCGAAGGATTTCCCGGGTGCTCCTTTACATACGTTCTATTGCGGATGTCGATGGCGCAGAGACAGCGGATCACCGATGACAGCAGCGTCCAGACGCCGAAGGTCCGAGCCTGGAGCCCGTTCACTGTGCAAAGAAGGGGGGAGCACGTGGAGACCACCTACAGCCCCGCTTGCCACCCCCCCATCCCCGCCGGGGAGGCGC